AATAATAATAATAATAATAATGATGATGATGATGGACGTTTTAAGCTCCGATTGACACAACTTAGATCCTTTAGAAGACGGACTGTGTTGACCCCTAGCCATCAGGACCGATTCAGGCTGCTTGGGATACAACATTTTGTAAGACAGTCGAAGATATTAGACGATATATAAGTATAAGACTGCTTCACACATGGAAATCGAAACTACAGCCTTCAACATAAGTTAAGGACCACTAACAAACACCGTGAGTGGTCTTCTTGGGTTGACCTGCATGTGGGCGTTCTTGGACTGATCCAGGGAGCAGCCTCAAGCGGACATTGACAGAGTGTGACACTGCAAGCCTTTTGGCAACTTCTCGGGCTCCAACTCCATCCTGCAGCCATGTCATAGCTCTGGCATGATCAAAGTTTCTCAGATTTCGTCTTGGTGGCATGTTGATGCGATACTGGATTTTGCGCAAATGGCGGTTTGTGTTGCCACCAAAGTGAGCACAGTTCGAGACCGTGCGTCCGTTTATGACGTGCACCAGAAATTTTAACTGAACTTTGCCCGTGGTGTCGCACACAAGTCGATAAAAAACAGCAAATTTGGCAAAAATGCCCCAAGGATTTGCGTGTTGCACGTGGTGGTTTTGCCCCTTTAGGAAGCTTTGCAGTACACACTGGAAACCCATTAACACTTTCAGAGCAAAAAATTTGAAACAATCCTCACTGTCTTTTTTCCAGATTGAAAAAAGGTGTTCCTTAACTTATCTTGAAGTCTGTTTTTGTATAGTGTTTTACGGTGCTCGCAACTGCATAAGGTCATATGAGCGCACGTACGGGACACGCCTAATATTTTGAGTTGGTAGGAAATTAAGAATTTTGCCCGGGTGGCGGCCGAAGCGTACTCTTATCGATTTTAGACCACCAAGGGATCTTTAACGTGCGCAACTTGCACACGGGCCCTCCGAGATTTTTCGCCCTTGTCCGAGAAGGCTAGATCTAGGTGTAGATCTTTCCTACCCGAAGATCAGGGGTGTGGCTGAAAGACAGCAGTAAGAAGAAGTGAAGGAGTAGCAATAGAAAGGCTGCAGAAAGAAACAGGAGCCCAGAGGAAGGGGCAAAGGGGGTGAGGGGGTGGGGGCAGAAAGAGGAGACGAAAGCAGACGATAGAACATTGCTAGAGAGAAGGAAAGGAGGTGAAAGGAGACAAATTTAGAGAAGAACATTTAACGGTCGCTACCCGGATTCGAACCCGGGACCTTTTGAATGAGAGGCCAACACCTTAACCTTCTAGGCCACGAGAGCCCCCTCTTGAAGTCTGTATGTCTTCAGCTTCCATTTGCTACGCCATAGACGCGGACGAAGTGTAACATTAAAGTAAGTCTTGCGACACTCGTTGTTGTCCGAAATGTGGCATCTGAGGAAGAAGCTCATAATCTCATGGACATAGTGGAAAACAAACACGGAAGTGATCTAAATGGCAGGATAATAATATCGGTAGGTCAGTAACCAGATTCGTCAAGAAAGGATAACTGGGAATCTTTGACTACATAGATAGAACAATAAATGAACTTGCTACTGTGCTGTTTTTTTTTTTTTTAAGTGAATAAAGAGCAGACGAAGACGGATAACAACATTCAAGATAGCCTGAATAGCTTTTTGAGTAACAGCTCAATGTGAAAAATAAAGCTAATCGGGATCGTACTGACAACAGAAATGAACGAGGTACAAGGTACTATAATTTTAAATGTCTGCTCCCGACCTGACACCTGAAGAAGATGAAGAAGAGAAGAGTTAATTTTTCCTCGTTCTGATCCGAGTATTGAACACGTAGCCTTTCCTTTGTCTGTGTCATCTCGACTTTCGTACAGACATGACTCTATAGTGTAGATGTGGTGTGGCCACTTTTCATAGAAAATAAAATTATAATTATTGTCTTGTTTCAGGTACTTTAATGTAGATCTAGATCGGGGGCTCT